ATCCCCCCACATCTTAGTGTCATCAGCAAATTTGAACTGGGTGCTTTTTACCCCCTCGTCCAAGTCACTGATGAAGATGTTGAACAGTGCAGGCCTGAGGACTGAGCCCTGCAGAACCCCGCTGCCCACATCCCTCCAGGTTGAAAATGACCCATCCACCACCACTCTCTGGGTATGGCCCTTCAGCCAGTTGGCAACCCAATTGACTGTGGGGGTGTCAACACCACAGTCCCCCAGTTTCCAGTAGCAAAAAAACCACCATGAAAAAAAAAGTGGTGCAGTGCATGCCACAGGAGTGTGCGCTGGCAGACAGAGGCTTAGTCCTTCCAGAAGATGCTCTGGCTGCTGGCCAGAGCATCTCCCCTCCTCTAGTTCTGCCCCGGCTCCTCCAGTATGCTGGGAGCCAGGATGCCAAGTGGAGCATTTTACCCTGCACTAAAGTGCACATGCAGGGTGTCGTACCCGTAACGGGTCAAGTGGATGAGTTATTTAAGGTAGACACACAGCTCTCTAAGCCAAGCTTTGTTTTATTTAAGAGAGAAAGAATAACTTATAGTATACTCACAAAATCCAATATAGCATGTTCAAGCCTTGTTACTCCTTATGCACAATTGTTAAAGACACCCTTACAGATGATGCCTGGACCAGATCAGCTAAGCTGTCAGTTCTGCAGCACCCGCAAAGCTTCTTAAGTCATTTGTTCCCCCAGCAGTACGCTTCTATGGGAACCCGAAGATCTGCACACTTTGCTCAAATTTCATCCCAAATTTATTCACATTCAAGCAGAACTTAGAACCAAATTTGGATTAACCTTTACTGTGATTGGCTAAGTGGCTATTCTACCTGCGGTTAGCCGACCTTGTCCACGTTATGTGGCTAAGTTCATATTGTATCCTATCGTGGTTAAAAATGTGTCATGCTGCACTGAGCGTCTGTCTTGTTGGGTGAGCTGCTCACCTTTTGACACAGTTTTGTGGTTTGCAGCACACTGAAGCACAGGTGTTTTATTATCTTGACAAGGTCATGAAACCACGTTTCCCTGTTTTGGCAGCTCCGTAGCAACCGTGCAGTCAGAACACTTAGGTTTCTCTTGTGTCAACTTCACGTCTGCTTTCTGTGCTGTCAGCACAACTGAGTATATGGGTACCACACAGGACATGTGCAGCAGCAAAAAGTGGCAGCACAAATTTGTAGAGGTGCATTAATAAGGATTTTTTTGGCCAATACCGATGCCCAATTATTTACCAGCCATATTGGGCAACACCAATCCGATTGCTGATATACAGCCAGGTAGCTCGGAGAGTAGTGTCCCACACCCGGTAAGTCTGTGCAGGGGAAAAGGGCATGGGGAGAGGCAGGTCAAGACCCCACAGTGAGGGAGGGAGTGGGACTGGGGCTGCAGGTGGCTTGTCTGGGGGGGGGGG